ATGGTCACATCCACCCATTTCTTGACTCGACTGTTTGGTGACAAGTTATTTCCTCTTGATGCAATAAACCTTTGGGCATATTTGTTTGTTTCCACAACAAATGTGTTTATCAAAGTGGCCGTGAAAAATAGATCGAAGTATGAAATCGGAGGACTATTACGGGGGGGGGGCAATGTTTTGGCCCGGACAGTTCATTGAAAACAAACGAATGTTCATATCCATGGTCAACGTCATCAAACACTTCTTCCCAATCACTACTTTCTGGACTTTGTGGACGAACTTCTGGATGGCTACCTCCTCTATGACGGCCTCTACCACGCCCTGTAGCTCTTCCTCGTAGGTTTGAACAGCCTCTTGAATTAGTTATAGGAGGCATTACGGGTGCCGGATCATCTGCATCCTCTTCAGAGTCATCCAAATCAGGCCTTGAAAAATGTCCATCCGTGGAGGTCCCGGGGAGGTTCAAATCAAAATTAATTCTTGGACGAGGCAAGGATAACTGGAATCGAGGCCTTGGAGTAGTACTTGGGTCATAATCTGGGTCCTCGTCCGTGTCGTCGACCATTTCGTCACTACTCTCAGTCCCAGAAGAGTCAATGTCATCTAGTGATTCGACATCACTATTGTCATTGTTGACATCATTCACATTCACACCACTTTCACACAAATCACGTATAAGCGTTCCCTCACTCACAGGAGAATGTGGCCGTTTATTACTAGGCCTATTCATTTTGAAACAAACCACAGTAATGCTCGGGAAACTCACAATACAATACTGTATAAACAAACACAAGGCACGCTGGTTTACATTAGCCTAAGCCATAACCTAACATCCAAAAGCATAATAATAATAAGGTATTCCCGCTAGATTGACAAATCACATGTTAAAAAAAATTGGTTCCACGCAGTCTGAGAGCGGCAGACAGCGTGGCGCCCAATGCCACAGCCATCCGTATAACCTCAACACTCGTGACTTTAGAATGCTATACGAAATTAATCCGCTCTTTTTTCGTTTACCAACGCATATTTTTCAAGTACTACAACTCTTTAGCTTTAATTTGAGTTGTGGTAAGAACGTTTACTGTTAAATATGCGTTTGCTACAATGAATTAACAAAATGCCGATTAGATCGGCGGCGGGCATTTCTCGCGCAGACGCCAGGCGCCGATGTCATCGGCAGCTGGCATTTCTCGCGACGGAAGGCGATGCCGATCACATCGGCAGTTGGCACTTCTCGCGATGTAATTAAAAGCCGATCTAGTCGGCTTTTGGCATTCAAAGGGTTAATCATAGTCCTGTATTTTTTCCTATAAACTGACAAGAGTTCTCTTTAAATCATCATGCTTTGCTAAATTAGGCATTTTTGTTAAATCTGCAAGAAAAATAACAGTATCTCGCATTTTTCTTAGAGATTCATCAAACCATTTATTCTTTAATTTACTCTTATAATCATGCCTGATTTTCTTAGATATTCTAGGACAGTTCAAATGGAAATAATAAACAATAGTATTTAAGAAATATTCAAAAGCAGTGTTTACATCTAGAGTATGAAAAATAGGCTCCCAATTTGCATTACACAAGCTCAATGCTAACATGCCAAGGTTCTCCTCATTAAGTTTACGAAAAGAAATTTCTTTGAGTACATTTGGTGCTATATTCTTAATTATAAGTTTAAAAAACAAAATGGGATGATCAGATATTTTATAATCCCACACCTTATGAGTGAATTGATGTTGATCAATATTTGTTGCGATATTATCAATACATTTATCCCCTTTAGTCGGGTATTTAAAAACATGATATAAGTTGAAAGATTTTAAAATACTTTTAAGCGATTCAGTACAAATTGTCAGTTTTTAAAAAGTCAATATTAAAATCAGCTCCTAGTACAATTTTGCTAGAAGGTTTTTTTGACAGAACGAATGATAAAAGTTTTTCTAGATGATGAAAAAAAACATTACAATCTGAAACAGGCGTTCTGTATAGAGAAATGAAAACAATATCAAATTCATTAACATAAATAAATGCAGTTTCAAAAAGGCTTGTGTACACAAAATGAGAAATATCAATCACATCATACATAAGTCCCTCACTAACCAATATAGACGCACCTCCATGGGGGTCATCCTGCCTGCAAAAAGATGCTGCAAGGGAAAAGCTTTTTGGTACATACAAATCTATTTCTTTTTTAAGCAACCAATGTTCGTTTATGAGTACAATATTGCATTTTGATTCCTCCAAAACTATTGCCAATTCAGGTAACTTATTTCTTAAAGACCGAACGTTAATATGAATTACATTTAAATTAATATCTTTTTAATTATTTAAAGCTGCTCCCTTTGCAGAAGAGGATGCCCCATTGGAGTTGCCTCTAAAAAAGAGGTGCTACAGATATTCACATTAGAAGCACTCACACTAATTTTGGACTTTTCACTATTCTTCCCACACTGTGACACTGCTGCTGGAGGTGGTAGGGGGGCAGATGAAGTTGACAGACTAGTAGTTACATGAGGTACAGGCTAGCTGGACGCCTGTAGTTGGCATACTAGAGCAGGTCCGACTGGAGAGGGAGCGTCTTGTTCGTTGAGAGTAGGAGATTTTGTGCTACTTGGAGCAGTTGAGTGGTGCAGTGGTAGAGGTGGGTATTCTTTTACTGACTGAATATTCGGTGTAGCAAGCTTAGTTGCGAGGTTGTTGGAAGCGAGAGAATGTAATGAGGAAATCAGTTTTTTAATGCAGTCCACAAATCCTTTAAAAGACATTCCATTTCTGAGCGTTTCTGTGGTAATTTTTTCATTGAGGGTAACAATTATGATTGAAGCTGAAGTGTTCTTTTGGAAATTAAGTAAATTTTTCATAAAATGGTGAGGTGAAACTCGGTCTCTAATACAACCCATGGGGGAGCAGATTAGTGTTTCCAAATTGTTTTTCTTAAAATGGTTTGTTAGTTGTTCGAAAGCCCAGTCATAGTAGAGTGTATAGTTCTGTAGGTTTGTAGACTTCTGGTAAAACTTTTCCTTAGTTACCAAGCTGTATCAAGGTGTCTACTACATTCTGGATAAAAAATTCATGGACAATTCCCGTACATTTAAGGATACTTTGCCGTAACCTTTGTCGGTGTCATTAGGCCTACCGAATAATTTTCCTGATTTGTCAAACTGTATTAATCTTGTTATTAACTGTAGTTGTACCAGAGAGAACAGTAAATAACAATAGATAAGAGTTAAAAATTTCAAAATAGAAATTTATTGAAAGTAAACAAGTATAGGCCTACCTATACTTTAGGTAAAGCTTTTATAGTGTAACAGAGAAACGCAATCATTGTCTCTTGCGATAGCGACAAATATCTCCATCGGTCACGTAAACTTCATAACATAGCTTATCCGATCCAGGCGGATTAATTTGGCATGATTCGCCCTGGCACAACGTTAGGCTCTCGACTACTTTTGAAAAAAAAAATCTTTAATGCATATTGTTACTCAGTTCTTAGTACAAAATCAAGGTATGGTAAGCGGCTACCAATAAGCAATAAGCACAGAGTAAGATTATTGTATTTTCATTTGCAAAGTTAATATAGACACATAGCAATCATTAGTTGTTTATCTAGGCTCAATTACATTTTCTTAATATATTTTACAGCTCTTTCAAGAATCAAAATACTCAGGCTTAGTCCTAATTATTTAGGAGGGCCTATATAAACTGGGTAACAAACAATGAGGTTATAATAGCAGCAAAGTCACTATCATCATTCTATTTCATAAGATTTAGATTGCTTAAAGCATACAACTCAATAAATAAATATATGGGAAACAAAAAACATTGAAACCTGAATAGCCAACAATATAAGACAAAGATACAGAAAATGCAATGACATAATTTGAAACCAAGCAGGCCTACATAGTGATAAAACATTAATGCAAACAACATTGCTTGTGGTTTTGTCAATTAAAAGATCAAATATCCATAAAAAATGGGTTAACTTACAAAATAAAACTGTAGATTATTTACATGTTTAATATGAAACCATAAACAGTTTTATGGCACTAGGCACTGGCCGCGGCAAATTGAAGCTTCAAGCCAAAGTAAAAGTAAGAAGTGAAATTTAACAGCCATTATAAAGCTATTATTTTCACGATAATATAGGTTTGGGATCTCATAATAATTACCCTAGTAATAAAAAAAGAAGTTGTAAAGGAATAAAAGTGATACAACTTTTATGAGCTATAACTGAGTCAACAGTTCTTGGAAGTACTTGACTTGACACTTGATTGTCGTGATAAAATATTAATGGGTTTGAAATTGCTAATGGGATTTTTATTGCATAATAACTCTAGTAATAAATTATGAAAATGTAAACAAACATCTGATAAACCTTTTATGTGCTCCTAACCAACTAGCGATCAATAAAATTATGGCCCATTAAAAATTTAAGGACATAGTCTGGCATTTAAGGACAATTCCTGTGTACATTTCATGGCCAATAAAAAATTAAGTACAATTCCCGGTTTTCCCGGTTGGTAGACACCCTGTGTATATTGTCGTTGGAAACCTATTGCTGTAATTTTTGTACTGGGAAACTAATGATGGTTATGATTTAGTTTTCTGTCCAAAACGTCAAAATATGTTGTCTATCCGAAAAAGTCGGATATATAACGGATAGTGTCGGATATCAAATTTAGGCTCGGTGTTATGATTTAGTTTTCTGTCCAAAACGTCAAAATATGTTGTCTATCCGAAAAAGTCGGATATATAACGGATAGTGTCGGATATCAAATTTAGGCTCGGTTCGGATACGGATATCCGAACCGAACCGAATCTGACCCGTTTTTTCGGATATCCGCACACCTCTTTTATTTTATGACACTTGATAATGAACAGGAAAAACTCCTTAACAACTCATAGCCTACATTACTTTGTGTAGTGAACTGTGGTTCCAAAGCAATAAATAATCAATAACATTATCATTATATAGTCTACAAAATGCAAAAAACAAGTCATACCTTTATCTTCTCATATCTGTTTTGGTCAGGATCGAACCCAACTTGCGAAAGCACCTTAATACCAGATGTCTTCTGTGAACGGTCGGCAAGTGACAGAGTCATCTTGCGATGAGTGAACGATTCTGTGGAGTGAGGTCGGAATGTCAGCTTTGTACGAAACACTGCCTGACCTTGTAGACCTGTACCTTGTCTGATGAACAAATGATTGTGGTCTCCCTGGAATAAAATATAATCATCAGATGTGTATAAATGTTAAAGATACAGTATTTCAAAAGACATCAATGAAAGATAAATAAATTCACACAAAACATTGCAAAACTTACGAACATATAACTTATATATTTTAATAAAGCAATATATTGAATGTCTTATTGATGTGACCTTTTAATATCAAATCTCTGGTCTACAAGAAAAAAAAAACTTCTACACAAAAGGTTTAAAGAGACACTTGACATTGAGATATACGAAGAATTTAGAACTGTAAGGAACACATGTAAATCTTTGGTCAAAGCCTGCCATAGACTATACTTAGAGAGGGTTGAGAACAGTTAATCCAAAATCTTTCTGGGGTCATGCAAAATCCTTAAACAAAACCAAAAGCATTCCCAGTAGTATCCATTACAATGGTGTATCAACTGACAACCCCTCACTGATGTGCGACTTGTTTGCTGATTACTTCTCGACGATTTATAAGACTCCTGGCGCAGCTCATCCTGCTCCTTGCCTACTTATGGCTGGTCCAACTAGAGAGTTAAGTTTCTTATCCACATCTGAAGCAGAAATATGCCAGAAGGCTCTCCTACTGGCATATTTCTGCTTCAGATGTGGATAAGAAACTTAAGGGATGTCTCTAAAGGCGCAGGTCCGGATGACATAGCTCCTGCCGCACTCAAGTTTTGTTCAGACAGCTTGGCCCCCCATCTCTCAATCCTCTTCTCTTCCCTTCTTAGAAGAGGCATATTCCCACATAACCTCAAGCCTGGATTTCTGGCCCCTATTTACAAGAGTGGTGATGCAGATTACGTCAACAACTATAGGCCAATAGTTATTCAGTCCGCATTGGCAAAGATATTTGAGAGTTTGGTTCAAGATGTTGTGGAGTTCACCTACAGGAGTTCAATCATCCGTCAACAACATGGCTTCCGTTCTGGCAAATCCACGGTCACCAACCAGATGGTATTCTCCAGCAATGTCCTCTCTGCTTTCTCTTTGGGTGAACAGACCGATTGCATATACCTGAACTTTACTAAGGCCTTTGACTGAGTGAACCATGCTATTCTCATTAAGAAATTGCATGCCTTTGGTATCACCGGCCCTCTTTTGGAATGGTTTGACAGCTACATATCGGGACGCACACTAACGAGTCAAGCTTTCATCCAACATCTCTAAACCGATTCAGGTGACTTCTGGTGTGCCACAGGTGTCACACTTGGGACCATTCTTGTTCAGCATGTTTGTCAATGACGTTGGGGACGCGTTGAGCTGCGAGGATCTCCTATTCGCTGACGATATCAAGATCTACAAGAAAGTGTCTTCTCTGCAACATCAGTATGAACTCCAAAAAGCTCTTAACCCTTCCCGGTTGGGCAAAATCGTGACATAGAACGGGAAAAAATTATAGGAAAAAATAAAATTAATTTAACTTATTTGTGTTTTGTTATACAAGTATACATAAAATAAACACATTGGAACACTTCATACTGTCAAAATAATTTTTACTCGTTTTTAACTATGCTGATATATCCGCTACCCATCCGTGGATGAGTAGAAGAACAGCGGATATACACGCCACCCGTCTTTGAAGATATGACCATGACAACGTTAGGCAATAAATATTGAACAATATGTAAACAATAAATAAAGACAACGTAGTGTTGAGCGCGAAACGTCGAGGGGGAGTGTAGGAGAGGTGGGGGGTGCGCGGGAGAGGAGGAGGCGTGGGAGAGGGGTAGGCGCGGAGAGAGGGCGGAGTGCGGGAGTGAGGGCAGCCATGGAGAGAGCAGGAAGTGGCGCCTTGGTACCGCGAACATCTGATTACTGCTCAAGCACCTGCCAGTCTGTCTGAAGAGAAGGCGGATATATCCGCTTCCCGTCCGGAAAATTAAAAACCATAAGCGGATTTATCTGCCACCCGTCCTTTATCGCCAAAGACTTAGGCGGATATATCCGTCACCCATCCGGGAAGGGTTAATACCGTTGTCATGTGGTGCACCGATAACCTGATGGAACTTAATGCTAGAAAGTGTGTAGTTATGTCATTTGGAAGATATCAGAACTTGCTTGTCTACGACTACACAATTCTAGGCACTCAGCTGAAGAGAGTGAATGGGGCTAGAGATCTTGGAGTGTTCATAACCCCTACTTTGGACCTAGGTTCCTTAGCCAGCGTTGGAAATATAAATACGCCGTAACAATTATGGCCATTAAATTTGCAAACAAATTATTTTGATGAAAAATATGTCAATAATAAACTTTAACCATCAGATAGAAGTGGGAAAACATAAAAATTTTTAAATCATTTTTTTACACCAACCAAATTAGGCTATTGATTGTATAATGAGTAGGGCATTGCCCTGCAGCCGCCGCTCGGGAAGCGCTAAAACTATTTATGATCGCAATATTAATTTAAAGGTAAGCTTGAACAAACTGTTCTTGTATAGCCTACTTGAGCTAGATATGACATTGTGGGAGTACCTGTAGGGGCTGCTTGTAGACATCAAAGACTTCAGAGCCAAGATGTAGAGACATGCTGCCATCAGACCAGCGGATGAAGCGAGCGTTGCTTTCCTTCACAACATTCCCGTCCCTGTCAAATGCCTCTCTCCATCTGATCGTGTTCTCCACTTTCAACTTCAGCCTACAAGACATGAATCATCATGTAATCAATCATATTCAGCTCAAAGTTAAAACTACAATGCTTGTGTGCTCGCTAATAACACTTGTAGACTAAAGGTTCCAAGTCTAAAAATTAGCTTCCCACAAAATTATTTTATGCTTTTCAAAAATAACTATGTTTTTAAACTTAATACAGCAATTTCTCAATTACCTGTATATGGATTTGAGTAGATAATGTCATTTTTGGGTTCTACATGGAATTTTTAATAAGAATAATAGAAAATGACGGGGGATCGGTTGTAAAAACTCCATTATAAATAGATTCAAAGATAAAAATGAATATGTTTGATAAAAATTAGAAATCATCGGTCTATTGCATTTTCACACCCTGTATACAAGAAAGTGACAGAATATGTTAAAAACTGTGCCATTTTATGAGCTTTCCAACCATATGCTACACTATTGAGGTTTAGATATTCTTTTGTTTGTTTTAGTGGTTTGAATACCAGTAAACAGGGAACTTTTTTACTGTTTTTACTGTTCAAGCTGAAACAAAAATACAACTTTTGCTTAATGCATGCCGACTTTCTATGTTTTAAATGTTAAAGACACCATGTTTTGTAGTCTTCAAACCACTAAAGCGTACATAAGCAGACATAAAGCTCAATGGTGTAGCATATGGTTGGAAAGCTTATAAAATGGTGCAGTTTTTACCATATTCGGGCACTTTCACAAATGCAATAGACCAATGTTTTTTAAATTTTATCAAACATATTCATTTTTATTTAAACATCTATAATATTAAAACGAAACAGTGTTTTTTATTTCACGATTCTGAATCAACCACTCGACGGATTTACATGATTTTTGTGTTGAAAGAAAGATAATTTTGAGAACTAGGGAATGTCGAAGCCATCATTTTAGTATAGGGTCCCAGTTTTTTTAGAAATTAAGTTTTAATTTTTAAAAAGTCTAGCAGCCGACGCTAAGATTCTAAACTAGCTTATGGCATAAATTAATTTGCTTCACAACAGCTGTAAACATTCAGCTTTTGTGTCACAAATTCAGCATTTGGATAAACATTTTGTAAAGACATACTTAGGGCTGACTTATTTATACTATGTGTAATGCTAATCATTGATACGTTCAATTCTTCTGTAAGAGGATGACAGATTAATTAAATATACATAGTAAAATACTAGGATGTTCAAATTATTTTTTAAAGCAATCTTTGTAATCTTCGATTTGTTTAAGAGCAATATAATTTGTTTTAACTAACAGCTGGTTAAATATAAACTATGGATCTATGAGGTTATTTTATTTACTCTTATTTTGTTATTGATTATAGGAAATAAGTAAGATTAGTAGGGATAATTAGACCACAGTTTAAAATAGTTTAGACCAAAATTAATTAAACCACAGTACAAATCGAGGCTATGTACACGAGTCTTAATAAAAAAGGATAAATGCAAATTATTTTACTGCTCCACTTTTCAAGGAAAGATTAGAAAAATAACAATGTTTACATGTTTTAATTCTTCATGGTAGCTTTTTGTTTACAATTAATGTTTGTCTGCTTTAACTTTGTTTGGATTAGGCCCGGAAATATTGATGTCATAAAAAGAAGATCAAGAATAATCAGGAATCACGATTTTAAATTACCACCACATCCTCAGCCGGGTTTTATACAAAGATAAACAGATGGATGACATAGATTGAACACAACGTCAATTGACCTAGGATACTGCAATTAGACAAACCATCCTTTTATTATGAAATCGTGTTCAGTTGTGGTTACGTTTGGGGGTGCCTATATCTGTTAATACTGTTCTATGAAATGGCGACCATACAAAGTAGGTATTTTAAGCCAAGTATGAATGGAGAAGAGTGTAGCGCCCCCAAACGTGAAAATATCACTTTTATTTCAACTATGAATATATTGTAGTTTAAATTAACTAATATGGGAAATTACGATGTACATTATTCAATGAGGGTGGGTAATCATCAAGGATAGAACTGATAACGGTATGGATAGTAAACATTGACAATTACGTCATTAGCTTTACTAGCGTGTTTAGTTTTTATATTCCTGCTACATGTGACCAGTATTTTTTTCAAATGAATGTTATTTGAACCAAACAGCTGTTTCAAAACAAACTGTTATTGTTTTTACTTTTCTTTGTTTACACTTATTTATTTAGCAATTAATGCAGTGAAATTGATATAAAGGATAGGTGTGACGATTAGTTAAGGTTAGGGTCAAATAGTTAACCCTCCGAGTGTTATTTGTCGATGCTTCGACACATAACACACTTTGTGTAGTGTTTTGTGTCGATGCATCGACTCACAAACACTGTTTACGGCGACGGCTCTGGGACTGACTGAATCGGATTGAGTTGGGTATCGTTTTTTCAACAGATTCAGAGCTTTCTCCGGAGGTCTGTCTCTAAGCGCTTTTCATTTTAGTTCCGAAAATATTGTAGGAGACAGCTGACAGGCATATTTGTAAACAGCTTGGTTAACCTCGCACCGATGACTGATGTGTTTTATTACGTTTATCATTGTTTTAGTTTTAAAAATCAAAAGTAGTGATATACGTGGTGCATTATAAGAAGATTTAAGTGATTTTGAAGGGCTGGTTGATGATCCTGAAAAAGTAGGTAGTGATATTGATGTAAATTATCAGCCAGATTCCTAGCTATGGTTAGGCTATGCATTCTTAGCTAAACGCTATGTACTGAAATCTTTTTTTTGCCCATAACTTATTTATTTGCAAATCTACTTCCTTATATTATTATATATTTGTAATCCTCATAAAATTTAGAACAAAGTGGCTATTTTCAAATATTTATAGACCTATAATTTATACAATTTCATCGAGCGCGAACTTATTTTATTTTTTTTTATTTTACAAAATATTTTTTTTACCTAAAAAATTTTTTTGAAACAAATGTTCCTTATGTTTTATGTATAATATTGAAGCCCATGATTTTCCAAACAAAATGGTATATAGAACAGTATAATTAACATTGTTTTCAAGCTTCTCAGATCCGTTTTAACAAAACCTTGCAAATGAGACAATTTTTGTTTCCCATGTTAATCTTATGGAGAAATACGAAACTTTAAAGGGCTCCAGGGCCTAATTATCTAATTATTTCCCTATAAAGAAAGTTCCTGCACAACTTCACTTTACGCTCTTTCCAATGATACCAAAAACATGTCAATCGGTTAAGTAGTTTTGGAGGAGTAATTGTCACAAAAAACCTGCTTTCGTATTAAATAAGTACTAGTGTCCCTGTTGCTCGAATTCGAGCAATTGCTAAGTATTACAGGCGTTATTTTAAAACGAATTTCAACCAAGTCAGCAAATGTTAGTGGCAAACTGTTAAATTAACTTAAACTTATTGACTGTTTACAATTAATATGCTCTTCTTCTCACTTTTGATTTCTGACAACAGCTGGAGTTCCATAAAAAATTTTGTTTCCAATGTTAATCTTATGGAGGAATACGAAACTTTAAAGGGCTCCAGGGCTTCACTCTCTAATTATTTCCCTAAAAAGAAAGTTTCCTGCACAACATCACGTTATGTTCTTTCCAATGACACCAAAAACATGACAATCGGTTCAGTAGTTTAGGAGGAGTAATTGTCACAAAAAATCTGCTTGCGTATTAAATAAGTATAGATATAGATAGATGTTGATCAGAAAAAAATTTAGGGTTAAGTTTTTGGTTAATGGGATGTCTTCACTTTACACTAATTTTGTTAAACCTTAACAAAAGGACTATAAACTTAGAAATATTAACTAGGTAGAGATGCTAATTTAGCGGTTTTGACCAAGAACTAAGGTTATCTCAACACACCTTTTTTGGCCTTTTCATTTTTATATTTGACAAAGACAATATCCAAAACTCCAATCAGGGGAAACTTTTTTCACCATTAATCACTAGACCAAAGCTACCTAATAAACCTTAATTCACAATCAATTCTAAGGCATATGTTTGCTGCCTTTATCAGAGTTAAACCTATGGAGTTATTCAAATTATTTATTGAAAATAACACCAACAAACGCAAACAAAGACAAACTATTTTCACACATAAGATATTGTGTACAGGGATATTTATTCTGACACATAGATAATATATTTTTGAGTTGGTTTGAATATTAGAATAGTTTGTTTTACATAAATGAGATATTGTGAGCGACTGGAAAGTCGTAGAACAACGGGAGAGGGCTCAAAGGTCTCGATCCCGTTACGGTGGGGAAAATAGTAAAATTCCCCAAATCTTAACATAAAATTAGATATAATGTAAAATGTTCTCCATAAGAATAGCAATAGAAGCCATTTATTATTATTATTATTATTATTTTATGGCCAGCATTGGACCACTTAAGTCAATATAATGGTTAGATTCTTTTTTAATTCTGTCTCTTCTTCTTGTCCGCCCAATACTTCTTCATTCTTTCCGACCGTTGTTTTCTTTCTTCTTCCGAAACCACTCTTCCTTGTCTCTGATTGTTTGCTCCTATTGGCAGGATGATATTTTTGTCTTTGAGTACTACAAGCGCCTCTGACTTATTTTCCAAATCTTCTAATGATATTTTCAACCTTCGCATGTCCTCCTTAATCTCTGTAATCCACCTAAAGTCACTCTTGCTATACCACAACTTGTCAATTATTTTCTTGCTTATTCTATTTTCCTGTGTCCTTAAAAGATGTCCAATGAATGAAATTATTTTCTTTTTAATTATACTTGTTAATGGCTCTACTTCCTTATATACAGTTTTATTTGAGGCCAATCTCCAAACTCCATCTTTTTGATATTTTTTGTTTATACATGTTCTGATGATTCTTCTTTCTATTTTTAGTATTTTATCTATTGCTACAGTGTTAGTTGTTTTAAACATAGTTTCACTTGCATATGTTATTTGTAGAAGTATAACTGCTTTGTAGTGTTTCAATTTTGTTGCTATTGATAGGCATTTTTTGTTGTATGTGTTTTTAGTAATATGTTGCATTCT